CATAATATAATACTTAAAGCAAATCAGAATTCCTTATTTTTAAAATTATTTAAAAAAAAAAATCAGTTTATCATCCAATCAATCTATGGCATAAATTATTTAGAGTTTATAAAATATTTTAATTATTGTAAATATTGATATGTGTTCATAAGCTTTCAAAACTTTATTATTACTTATGTAATTTAGAATGAGACACTTTAGTTTTTATTTTTTTCGTTCTAAGCACAAAAAATCTTAAAATACATAATCTTACTAAGATAAACTTATATTTCGTAGATAACAACCAACATAAATGTAATTAAAATAATTAATCAAAAATTTAAGATATTTAGAATAAAAAAGATTATAGTTGAATTCATAGAATAGAAAGAATCCAATATATATATATATATATCCAAATGATAATACTGACTAAATATAATATATATAAAATTATAATAACTAAAATATATAATATTATTAATACAAATTATACATACAAACTATAAATTAATATAAAATTTAAAGTAAATATCAATCAACTATTATAATATATTTATTTCTTAAATATTTAAACCCGTGCATGAGCACGGGAAAATCACCTAGTAAACTGTTAATTGAAAAGGAGATAAATATCAAAATTGATTTCCAAAAACTAAAATACCGAATATATTAATATATACTAAAAAAACACATAACCGACGTGATATAGAAAGAGAGTCGCGGCTAGGTCGTAGTCGTGCTCTCGTTTTGCAATTCACGTTTCCTTCTTCTTTGTCTTCTTCAATCTTCTCTCTGGGGTTCTCTTTCTCACTCTTACGTTTTCTCTATCTTCACGGGTTTCTCTCACTCTCCGTTGATAAACATCAACCGTTTTGCATTCTCACCATCTTTAAACGCATTCCTCTGTTTCTCGACTTCTCACAATTATCAGGTGAACAAATCTCTGTTTCTCTCTTTATATTCTCTGAAAAATTAGATGTTTATAATCTGTTTCTTCTCTGGGAAATTAACATTACGAATTAAGATCATCATCAATTTTCTCATCAGGTCTTTCTTTCACTCTGTTTTTCTAGATTGGATTCAGATCACAATACATTTCTCTAGAAAATGATCGGAAGTTTTAGTCAATTTTGATGACCTGTTCTTACCATTTTTGGACTCTTTGTTGTGTACTCTGTTCTGCTCTTTTTTCTGTGCAACCTTTTTGACTTAACTTTTTAATGAATATTTGTCCAAAAAAAATTATTTTAATGAATAAAAGGTTTTTTACGTCAATGAATATAAGTTATATAGATGAACATAAGAGCATGATTAACCCGGATTCTTAACACATGTTTTTAATGGAAGTTAAGAAACTGTTTCTTAACTTTTAACCCAAAACGATAAGAACCCGACTTTAAAAACCAGTTCTTAGCTTTTCTTAGCGGAAGTTAAGAATCCGGGTATTTCATTTCATATGATAATTTCACAAATTTCAAACTTTTCTTCTCTGTTTCATCTGCTCCAGGTCCCACTTCCAACATATTTTCTTTTTCTTTTTCTTTTCTTGCATATAATAAATGTTTACAGAATTTGGTAGTCTTTTGTTTGTAATCCAATTTTTATTAGTTCCTTTGTTATGCAGCAATCTCCAGCAACATGAACTCCATGGTTTCTAACTACTGATTGTTGTGAGTTTTTGTTTTGTTTTATTGGGTTTGGTCTGCAGTCTCTATCTAAGAAACATAACATTTTGAAGTCTTCCAATGACAAGTTTGTCTGGAGTCAGAAGTCATCGAAAAACCTCAAGACCTCTGTCTCCAGGAGGTAGAGAGATTACTACTCCCAACACTAATTGAGATAATATCATATTATCTGAGAAAGAGAAGTTTTGGATTCTCATTTTCATTTAAAAAAAAAATGCAGATATGGATTACATAGAACCCAAAACAAAGAGCAATCTTATGGGAAAGCTTGTCTTACTAGCTTCACTTATAATCTTAACCTTTATTGTGATCAATAAAGCTTCAAGTTTCACATCCCCAAGCGTGGTATCCACATCAACTCATACTCAAAAACCTTCAAAATTTTACATTTTGTCAATATTAATTTTCTGCGGTTTAATCAGTTGCCTTTGCTTTCAGTTTTCTCGGAGAGAGGAAGGAGTGACTCATGTGTTAGTCACTGGTGGAGCTGGATATATCGGTTCACATGCGGCTTTAAGGCTCCTTAAAGATAACTACCGCGTAACCATTGTGGTAAGTAAAAGTCCTCTTCTCTTACAGTAGTTAAATCCCCTTTTCGATGACACTGGAACTTTGATCTCTCAACAGGACAATCTTTCTCGTGGGAACCTTGGTGCGGTTAAGGTTTTACAGCGATTGTTCCCACAAACTGGAAGACTCCAATTCATTTATGCTGATTTAGGAGATCCCGCAGCTGTATGGTGTTTGTTAACCTTTTGAAGCATAGAAGTTTTGGTTCTTTTTTTTTTCTTAACCGATCGTTACAATTTTCAGGTAGAGAAAATTTTTTCGGAGAACGCCTTTGACGCTGTTATGCACTTTGCTGCCGTAGCTTATGTTGGAGAAAGCACTCTTTATCCTCTAAAGTATACTCTTCATTCCCTAGATACAGTTTTAAATATTGCCGCCAGAATTTATTGTTGGTATCATTGTTTGTTGTTTTAATTGTTGTAGATATTACCATAACATTACATCAAACACATTAGGAGTTCTTGAAGCTATGACTAGACATAAAGTAAAGAAACTGATATATTCTAGCACTTGTGCTACTTATGGAGAGCCTGAAAAAATGCCTATTACTGAAGATACTCCGCAGGTAAAATTAAGATCATTAATTCGATATAAATTCATTTCTTCACTTTTTCTAATGGAAAATATTTGATTTAGGTTCCAATTAATCCTTACGGGAAAGCTAAAAAGATGGCAGAGGATATGATCTTGGATTTCTCTAAGAACTCTGACATGGCCGTTATGATCTTAAGGTTAAATTCATTGGCAACTTTCTTTAGCCTATTTTTGTTAGGCTATGATCAATAAATGTTGATGAATCTTTGAACTTGCAGATACTTCAATGTGATTGGTTCTGATCCTGGAGGTAGATTAGGAGAAGCTCCAAGACCCGAGCTTCGTGAGCAAGGACGTATATCTGGTGCTTGTTTTGATGCGGCTCGCGGTTTCATTCCCGGACTGCAAGTAAGAAACAACATGTGGTTTCATTATGCATAATATTTTATAATCTAATCTTTGCCAATTTTTTTTTACATAATATGGTTTTGATAGGTGAAAGGAACAGACTACAAAACATCGGACGGAACTTGCATTAGAGACTATATAGATGTTACTGACCTCGTGGATGCTCACGTGAAGGCTCTTGAGAAAGCTCAGCCTCATAAAGTCGGTATCTACAATGTCGGAACCGGAAAAGGTACTTCAACATCATCATTTGCAAAAATATATTTATCTAAGTGCCTCCTTTCATGTAATTATGGTAACATTATCATTACCATAATAATTACAGTGTGACACTACGTTAACCGTTTTTTGGTTTGGTCAAACAGGAAGATCGGTTAAGGAATTTGTGGAGGCGTGTAAGAAGGCGACAGGAGTTGATATCAAAGTAGATTTCCTGCCCCGACGGCCAGGAGATTACGCAGAGGTGTATAGTGATCCAACAAAGATTTTGAGAGATTTGAATTGGACTGCTCGCTTCACTAATCTTCAGGATAGTCTTCAAGTTGCATGGAGGTGGCAAAAGATTCATCCTCGTGGATATGCTTCTTATTAAAAACAGAGGAAACAACAATACCTTTAAAATTTGTTTTTGTTTTATATTTTCATTTCATGAATTTGCATATTGTTTTGTGGGCTTTATAGCTTGTGGAGAAAATGTATTGTGATTAGTTATGTACTTACTAGTGGAACATAGGCTTGGAACGCCTCCAAAGCTATATTTACTCTATGAAGCAGAGTCAGGACGAAAATGGAGACCTTCATGGATCCATTTGAATGTGGCAATCACTTTTGGTACAGAGAAAAAAAGTACAAGGCAAATCTCACATTTGAACAAAAATGGTTGACCACAGTAGCGTGACCAGAAGAGCATCTAACCTTCGACCAAAAATGGTCTACCAAGCTAGTGTGACTAGAAAAGGACACACACATCACTTAGTTCAGATTAGTGTGAGGAATAGCTCATGTACCCCAATCAGTTTGTCTACACATGTAGCCTTGGAAGAAGAGTCCAATAGTATGAGGGACCAAGAAGAAGACAGCCCACCTAGCATTAAAGAAAAATCAGCAGTCCAATCTGTTTATAGAGAAGGGAAGTCCAGCAAGCATGAAGAGAAGCCATGAGAAGAACATGCCCAATATTTGATTTAATAAGGGGAAGCACCAAAGTACACAAGTGTGTGACAAGCAAGTGAAGAAAAATCAACAACTGTAGGCTAAGTTTATTATACTTACTTCTGAAGATGGAAAGCTGCTGGAATATTTCAGTGTGATATACGAGGTGGTACATGTTTTCTACTCTTGATTTTAGCTCATGGTTTCAGTATGCACCAGATACAAGTTGACATACACACATATATATACTGCTCCCTTGGCCTATTTTCCCAGATATGAGACTTTTGTTGGGTTTGTCACGTAGACAAAATTTGCAGTGTTACATACACTGAATTACCAACTTCCATACATCAATTCTCATTCAATCTTAATCTGTTTTTGATGTATGAATATACCATATTGTAGTCCTCATTCCAAGCTTTACAATCAGCTGGTGACATGATCGGAACGACCACTGGTTTGGCCGGAAAAGCCACTGGAAAATCGGAAAATCAACCTTTATATTATTAACAAAACACAGTTCCAACAGTTTTCCACATCAATAGAAATTGCAAACTCGATAGACTCTAGTCACTATACTTATACTAATCATGACTAGACACAAACATGTCGAGAGTATTTGCGAAAAAGTTATTGTGTTTTAGTTGATGGTATTTTAAAATTTAAACCACTCATAGTTAATATATGCCGGGTTGACTTTACTAGAAAGTGAACATGATGTCTTGATGTCTTGAACCACATGGTGTTTTATATAGATTGAGACAACATACATAATACATCTTCATTTTCTCGTAAAACTTAGTTTTATATTATTTTCATTGTGACCTTGGACTATTTATGATTTTCATGAGTGAACTTAGACCATAAAACTTAGTTTTATATTGTTTTCATTGTGATCCTGGACTATTTATTGTGATCCTGGACTATTTATGATTTTTATGAGTGAACTTAGACCACCTCTCGTGGTGCTTCTTCTTTCATTTTGAAGAAAACTGTGTTCAACGGTATTTTATTTCCTGCTTCAAATGAATCCATGAACAATGTTGTTTGCAACGTGAAGATATACCATCCACATCTTCATCCTTTGAAGATGATCTTCGTTAATTGCAAAGTAGTATTTAAGTTCTTATGTATTCTTATCTTTTGTCAAAATAAATTATATAGATTAGTACTATCTAACTGATATCAGAATTTGACTATTATTTTCAATCAATTAGATGTTTATATCAAAGAGCATATGAATTTAATTTTTAATAATTGTTAACTTGATTAAAATGAAACGAAGACAAATAAGCTCATTTCTTATTTCTAAACACTTTGTTAATCATTTACAGAAAAAAATATATGTGGTGTTGTTTTACAAATTATGATGGTTTGTGTTGTTTATTCATGTTATGTAATAAATATATTATATGATAATGTTGTTTTTATTAAATAATAATTGTGTTAGATTATTGTTAAAATAAAATAGTTTAGGTAAAATTAGTAATAGAAAAAAAATATGAAGTGTTACTCATAATTAATAATAAATAATAAAATAGAAATATAATATACTTGGAATATTTCTTTTACAAGAAAGAAATAAAGCAAACCATTAGAATAATATTCTACTAATGAAGCAAACCATTTTTATTATTTTGAAAATGAAGCAAACGATTGAAAATACCTTTAGAATATATTTTTACATTCATTCTCATAGAAACAATCTTATTTTAGATTCATTAGGTGATTGACCATGGAGAATATTGAGTAATACTCTACTTTATAAGCTATGGAACCATTAAAAATTAACGATTATCCTACTCACATTTGTTAGCATTTATCATCTTAGAAACTTGAAAGAAACTATCTTGTTATCCTACTCACATAAGCTATGGAACCATTAAAAATTAACGATTATCCTACTCACATTTGTTAGCATTTATCATCTTAGAAACTTGAAAGAAACTATCTTGTTATCCTACTCACATTTGTTAGCATTTATCATCTTAGAAGCTGGAAAGAAACTATCCTGTTTCAAAGTACTCTTGATAGATTATATTTTCCCTTTAACTGGAAAGAAACTATTCTGTTTCAAAGTACTCTTGATAGATTATATTTTCCCTTTAACGTACATCTTGTGATCTATAGTTATGATAGGTAGGATTACAATTAAGCATATTAAGCATCTTCTTTCATTATAATTTTTAAACCCATGTCTTTCATTATAATTCTTAAACCCATGTCTTTTGATGATTTTTAGCAACATTATCACCACGTGACAGAATGAATCTGCTAGATTATAAGATAATTTGTCATATAACGAGATTTTTCATTCTTCTTCTGATGTAATGAGATTTATCATTGTAAATTTTATTCTGAATCTAGACTATTGCTGATCGCTAGCACATGTTTCTTCCACATAAAAACATCTTCCAAAAGTTTTATAAACCATTCAGCTTCTGCAGATGTTTTGTCTAAGGCTATAAATACAGATTTCTATGAGTTTAAATCGTACAACTTAGTTTTACAAGATCCTTGCTTTAATATGGTTCTGTTAGATATTATATTATCTTATAGAGGCTTCACTGGCGGAAATGGCAATATAGAACGGCCGATGATTAATCAATATTAAGAACAAAGGTTGGCCACTTGAGTATAGTCAAGTAATATTTGATCATATCCCGATTTGTCTGCCCTTGAAAAAAAAAGACAATTTGTCGTTCGTATATATACAAGAAAAGCATGACATGAAATCCAATAGAGAGAAAAAACGATACCAGTTTCAAAAGTCATCCCAAGTATATTTGTGGCACTGGTCAAACCTTACCTCCACTTCTGTTTCACCTCCTCTGTTTTCCCACCACAAGTTATTCTAAAGGCCTTTCCTTGTTTCCTTACATCAGATGGATAAAAAGTTGATCTTCATCTCTATCTCCTTCATGTCTTCCTTCTTTGTCCACAATTGGTTATACCTTGTCTTCATGAGCTTCCGCGGAGAAGATGTACATAAAGGCTTTCTTAGTCACATTCACAATTGAGTTTCAAAAAAGGGAATCATACCTTTCATTGATAATAAGAACAATAGAGGTTAATCATTGGTCATCAACTCTTACAAGCAATTAGAGGATCTAAGATCGCATAGTCTTATTCTCATAGACTCTAAGAGAAAGACTATTAAGATCTTCTAATGGCATGTAAGAGTTCATTCTCTATTGATCTTATTTTCAAGGAAAGTGTGATTCCTTTTCTTTGAACTCTTTATGAGTGTGATTTAGAAAGCCTCCACGAACATCTTCCAAGGGAAGCTCGTGAAGACAGGATAGGGACAGTTGTGAAACAAAGAAGAAGGAAGTCATGAAGAAGAAAATACAGAAGAAGATGAATTTTTTTTTCTGTTCTTATGGAATCTGAAATTTCTATAAACCACCAAAAAAGTTGTATCCAAAAGAGTGAATAAGCTCTTTGTAGGAGCCAACAGTCTTAGGGAAACAAGAAGAACCCAGTAGTTTGATGGAAAGAAGAAGAAGATCACAGCGCTTTATAAAGAGATATGTGGAGGAAGACTTAACAGAGAAGCTTTCTACGTGTTGATACTAGCAAGAGAGGAGGCTTCGTGGAAGTTTCATGGAAACTTTATTGCACCAACTCATTGTCCCCCCTTTAATGTATTGTAGGGCTACCATTCATTGACTTTTCGTGGAACCTTACCTTATCTCAAGATAATAATATTATTCTTAAGTGGTATAGTGAGCACAATCATTAACTTTTAAGCGTATAGAGATTCACTTTGCAGGTAAAGCCCACTAAACTAGCGCCTACTGTCTATCCCTTAAAATACAATTGTATCATGCCAAAAGCTTACCTACACAAATTTTCTACTCAATACAACAGAAGGTTTCATATAAATTCTTTGGTCAGTTATAAAATGCTTGAGACTTATCTTGTCACTGGAGCTCTGAGAATCTCCGGTATTCGTGTTGGTGATTTCTCAAAAAAAAAACGAAGATATTGACATTAAGTTTTCCTCCATTTTAGAAGTTACAGTATTGCTCTATTAACTGAGTGTGCAATGTGTAAAACAGTTTCCTCAATGGGTTTTGAATGGCAATCCTAATAGCCGTTTTATTTCAACATCTCACTGTCCTATGGAATCAACAACTTCTGCAAAGTCTCCACCCTTTGTTTCATACACCACCTTCCACTGCATTAGTCTGCAAGGTAAAAGTTCTCACTTCTGTCTCTCCCGCAATCACCACTGTGCATCTGTAATGCCAAAAAGGGAGGATAGGTTATATACACCAACTTAGTGGTGGATTTGATTTTTTTGGTGAAACTAACCTGGTTTTGATAACAAGTCCATGGTCCACCACCCCATCAATATTTTCCAGGCTTTTGGCCACGTTAGCTGCATAATCCCGCATTGATCAACCCATATTAACCAGCAATAGAGAACATTGTACAAGTTACAGTGGTAGCAGTAAAAGCTATTACCAAGGCTTGGAATAGGAGTTGTGAAGATAACATCAAGAATGTTGTGACCATCACTGGTGACTATAGGAAAGTCTCCTCCAAGAGGGCCTGCATCTCCTACAGAAGCTCTTCTCCACACCTTTTCCACATATGCACAAAGCAAAATACAACTAATCAAATGAGGCGTAACTCAATCACTAGGACAAAAATGTCAAGAACCAGATTCATACCTCTGCATCCCCTAGATACAAGTCATCTATCTCCTCAGCTATAGCTAACCAATTTAGCTGCAAGAAAAACCTCAAGCAATCGTTTCTTGATTTAAGAAAAAAAAAATAATTATTCTATTAGAAACTTGCTTACGGATTGAACCAAGACAGGGATGGATCCTTCAAGACCTGACTTGTATTGTTCATCCTTTATCATGAACACTGCCTCATCAGCTGCTTTGACAATAGACTGCATTGTGAATCTCTCTTTGTATAAGCCAAAAGCTAGGCAATGAGTTTGTTAAAAAAAAGGACTGCAACTCTTAGACAAAACCTCACTCGCCTTTTGTCGGAGAATATAGTCATCTTCCTGTGTTGTTCTTTTCCTCCCTATAACTGAGACAAGCGTATCCTCTTCTACAGCATCAGCATCATGAAATGCAAAATCAATCTACACATGAGAGTCCCACTGCAAAATATTATACTCCAAGCTGAAAGATAGACCAAACCAAACCGGTTAAGTAAATGAACAGATGCGTCTACCTGAAAATCATCCCGGAAATGTTTCAAGGGAACTCCAAACTTTGCTGCTTCACTCGCACTTCGAGCAGACCTGAACAGATGGAATGTAACATGATCCAAGAATTAAATCATAGAGCTGAAGAAACAAAAAAAGAAAAAGATTAATTCCTTTGTTGGGTTCAAGTAAGCAAAAAGACTTACATTGGTACACCAACAACATCTTGTAACGAACCAGAACGAAGTTGATGACCCAAATAACGTATAGCTAAATCTGAAGCTTCTCCAGATCCTAAACCAATAACCATCCCACTCTTCACGTAACTATCCACCTGAAACAAAAAGCACCAAACTTTGTATTCAAGTTTTGATCTTTCTTTAGTTTTATGAAGGCAGCACAATTTAAACGATAAACCCTAAAACAATTATAAATTACCAGAGAATAATTGTATTCGATCTTTCTTCAAGGAACAAATTTTTTTTTTGTCTAAGTTGAACATTAGGAATCTGATGTCTAAAAGAGTAGTAATGATTTAATTAACTTACGGTGTGGTGAGCAGCGCGGAGAAGAGGAGAGGGCTCCCGAGAAAGAGTGGCGCTTACTCGAGGTACTGAAGAAACACGTCTGATGCTACGACGGCGCGTGAAAGTAGCGGAGGAGGATGAAAATGGAGTGGATGCTGCTGCTGCAACTGCAACTACCATTTTTTTTTCAAAACGATTTATGTCACCAAGTCACGACAATGACTCGGTGGTTTTGCCGCTCTTATCTCTTCCCCTTCAGTTTTGCGTGTGTGGCATACGAATTGACAGTCACTCGAAAAGAGAAACTGAGAGAACAACAAAACCGCAATAAAATCGATTTTACTAATAACCAAACCATTCAAAAGTTGAGCTTTCTTAATCCGAGAAACATATTTATGCCATGTGTCACCTAATGATGCTTTTACATTTATTATATTTAACAAATTTTAATTTATTTAATGAACCAATAAATGCTAATAAAAATTTAAACATTAATTAAAACAAATTTTATATTTCTTGTGGAATCCCCTTTGGTCCAGTGGTTTGTATAAGGGTTCATTAATAAGACACCAGCAGGTAGGTCTGGGCATAAAATTCGAAACCCAAAATCCGAACCGAAAAACCCGACCCGTTATCCGACCCGAAATGTAAAAATATCCGAATTATAGGATGGTATAAAAAAATCCGAACCCAAAGTGTTATTTAACCGAACCCGAACGGGTAACCCGAAATATCCAAAATTAATAGTTAATATAAATATTTTAAATATATATATATATATATAAATATTTTAGATATTCAGTTTAATGTTTATTTTGATATGAAACATACAATAAACATTAAAATATAAATAAATACCTTAAATATATAATTAGTTATAAATAAGTACTTTGTAATTTGTTCATTAAAATAATAAATTTAGTTTATATGTAAGGTAATGCACATTGTTTACAAGTGATGTATGTTTTAATGACTGATTTAGCATTTTTTTTATCCATTTTATGTATGTATGATTAATTTATGGGCTTTTTGCAAATTTGACTCAAAACTCCAAGTCAAACACAAAACTAACCTCTTCTTTTGACTCATCTTGTTTTTGTCCTATTCACCCCACATCTTCATTTTATTTACGAAAATGCCATTTAAATGTTTTTTGAATTTTTTTTCGAAAATGGCATTTTTACTCTCTCAACCTCATCATATTCAAGTATTTACAACATTGCCATTGCCATGAATACTCCCAACAACCTTGTACAACCCAACAACCTTGTACAACCAAGGTTTGAAGCTTTTAATGCACTTAAAATCGATATCCATACTCTCTTTCTCAATTGTTATGAACTAAAAACAACATCTCCTTCACTTTGTCTCCATATTCATACCAAAAACCCAAGCTTTTGA